TTCGTAAGCAACCCCTCCCTTCGCCCTCGGCGCGCCGAAGGTAAACTTTTAGGGAAGAGGATAAATGACTGGTCGTTGTGGAAGAATGCCGTACCAGAGGAGAGAATGTGCGGAAGGGGGGTTGGGGGAGGCAGCATTCAGCAACAAATTCGGCTTGGTGCAGTGGGCACCTATCGCACCTATTCAACAAAGCCTGTACAAGCCGCTTGTAAAGAACTGAAATCTTGCAATCAGAGTGCCTTACACGTACAATTTCGCAGTTTCGCAAGAGTCCTACCAGAAATGAGATAACGCCATAAGGCACGGTAATCTGGTCAAGGTTAGTAGCAGGGGAGTTATGTAGCAGTAAAATGAAGAAAATCGAAGTTAAACGGCCGAAAACCTGCGAAAAACCTTTGTTCTGCACGGCACTGGACAAGCATTTTTGGACGAGTTTCCTGTTCCAACAACTGCTTTGATAGATGCATGTGTGTATTCATATATCCATGAAGCAACGCTCCATATCAACTGTACATACTTCATAAATGATGCGATGAGAATGCCTCGATGTGACTGTGCGGCCATTTGTGGGCGGGCAGTTGCGAAGGGCGTGTGGGTAGGCATGTTGCTTCTTTGGCCGCTACGATGCTCTTGGTTGAAAAGCCTCCATCTGGCGATTGCTAAAGGGTACAACATTCCTTCGTGCTAGGCGTATCGACTTTGTTGGCCGCGCCGATTTATCGTGCCTCTCGACTTTGAACTAGTACCAAAAAAGAACACGAGAAAGTGCAATGTGCCCCTCCGAAGCCGGACAGCGCCAAAAACTCCTCGAAGCCAGGACGAACCCTGCTTGCCATTTAATTTTATCGCAGTATCTTGACATAGTTCCACAGATGTAATTGTTTTAGGATTCCTGCAAGGTGGTACAATATTGTAGTATGTATCGTCGCTCCTACAATACTTATAATCATCACTTGTGGCTGCTGTATTGTGCTATGCGTGGCATGCATTATTTGGTGTTACAAAAGAAGAGATAGTAAGTTCAGACTGCACTGACTTTTCATAATTCACCCTTTATCTCTATCTTACAGAATTCAGTAGAGGAATGTCAATGAGCATGGAGGAAGAGGACGATCTAGAAGAACTCTTGTGAATATTCGATAGTTACGAAACCCTGAGACGCGGACATATATAAAAATAAACCTAATTAATAACATTTTTTCTGGCACAATAGAAATTATGTCTTCGTACGACAAAAAAATAAGATGGCAGCGTTTCAGATAGAAATATTTCAAAAAAATAACCCATCTTACGCCGTTATCAAAGAAATGTACATGAATACGTTGCAGTCTGCCGAGCGAGTGTCACGACGCTCCTTTACGCTGATATGTGATGCTTAGTACCAAATAAGGCTGCGTTTATACTTTGCGGCAGCGTAGCGTAGCGCTTCCAGCGTACGCCAGCGGCAGTGCCGAAGAGAGGATGCATATCGATCTAGCTTCACCAGCGTCACCACGCTGGCGTACGCTAGCGCACGCTAGCGTACGCCAGCGTTTCTCCAGCGTTTCACCAGCGTTTTGCTAGCGCTTGCAGCGGCAGGGGAGTAGAGACTATGGGAGAGCTGGAGGGTACAAAACACATCGATTGCGCGTCTCTCACTCGCCCTTAGTCTCTACAATGCACATCGCTTCTGCGTCTCCGACGGCCCATAGTCTCTACAATGCACATTGCTTCTGCGTCTCCGACGCCACATAGTCTCTACAATGCACATCGCTTCTGCGTCTCCGACGGCCATATGGTCTCTACAATACACGTCGATTCCGCGTCTCTCACGGCCACATAGTCTCTACTCCCTGCCGCTGCAAGCGCTAGCAAAACGCTGGTGAAACGCTGGAGAAACGCTGGCGTACGCTAGCGTACGCCAGCTGGTGACGCTGGTGAAGCTAGATCGATATGCATCCTCTCTTCGGCACTGCCGCTGGCGTACGCTGGAAGCGCTACGCTACGCTACGCTGCCGCAAAGTATAAACGCAGCCTAAGAGTACGTAGAAGCATACAGTGCAAGCTTCGGCGTTCGCCTGGCAAATTGGGGCTCACAGCCTGAAGATCTTCAAGAAGACCGAGTACTTGACGACTGACTCGAGCGAGAGACCGGCTCCATCGAAAACGATGGCAATGAGCTCACTTGTACAAAACATCCAAGTGTATCGGATTACGTCCGTTGGAGGTCTTAAATTGGGAGGAACGTCACGTGGATGTCGCAGCGTGCTCGAAATGCGACCCTGTGTGGGATGCTTAGCGACAACGACAATGCTAGAGCACCTTTAGTCGAAGGTCTACAGAAGTGTCGTTCGACCAGTCGCCCTATACGATGCTGAGTGATGGCCGCGAGCAAAGTAAGTCGAAGCCCGTCTCAGTGTGATGAGATGAGTAATGTTGCGCTTGGACGTGCGAGCATCACGCCGTTTGCGGACCGCACTTGATACGATGTCATAACTGACGAATTGGCTTGCCATAGGCTTCGTACAGACCTTGAAAAGTAGTTGGATTTTCATCAGACGATAGCATTTAACGGGAGAAATGCGCGGCAGTCCATATCGAAGAGGACCCTCTGCCCGAGCGGGACAACGCTAAAGAGAAGAAGAAAGAAGCGATCGTTGAATCGATTCTATTATAAGGAAAAAAATACAACGGATAGCCCGCGCCTGGAGGTGAGGTTTACTTTCGTGGGACGCTCACCTTCTGCACCACTACTATAGCAAGAAAAGTGATCCTTTTATACCTCATTTTCGTCATTGTCTGCCGAGATAGGATCCTGTATCGAACCAGAGCCGTGAAAACCCCGTATCGAATAGTAAGAACAGAAGGTGAATATAGCATGCTGGGCGCAGTTAGGCGACCGGGCGAGAGGGGGCACATGCACTTCCGCGCTGTTACATCCTGTTTACGAGTCTCACTCTGACGAACGGTCGGTGAACGTCTTCAACCTGTAGCTCACCACCAATATCTGTGAGTGTCGCATGCTATTCAAAGGCTCGGCTGAAACTGTTTCGCGCTCATTAGGTGGATCTACATTTCATAAGGAAACGGAAAAGGTGTCCGGAGAAATTCCAAGCGTTAAGCAACAGGGCAAGAACGTTGTCATGTGGTCTACAAGATAGAAATAATGGCACTGCTCGGCCTGGTGGGGCACCAAATGATGCTCGCGAAAGCTCAGCGCAGGTCATCCCTTGGCATATCGTTGTTACTCTGTGGATTTCGGCAACGCAGAGTGGCCGCACTTGTACTATTTTGGCAGTTTTTATAAGGCTGCCGGTTGTATACTTTGCGGCAGCCGTAGCGTGCGCTTCCAGCGTACGCCAGCGGCAGTGCCGAAGAGAGGATGCATATCGATCTAGCTTCACCAGCGTCACCAGCGGCACGCTGGCGTACGCTAGCGTGCGCTAGCGGCACGCTAGCGTACGCCAGCGGCACGCTAGCGCACGCTGGCGTAGCGAGGGCACGGGAAGCATAGCTATCGATCTAGCTTCACCAGCGTTTCTCGAGCGTTTCTCCAGCGGCACCAGCGTTTTGCTATGCGCGGCTTGCAGCGGCCAGGGAGAGAGGACCATGTGGCCGTCGGAGACGCAGAAGCGATGTGCATTGTAGAGACTATGTGGCCGTCGGAGACGCAGAAGCGATGTGCATTGTAGAGACTATGTGGCCGTCGAGACCGCCAGACGAACTTTGCATTGGGTAAGAGCCTAAGGGCGGTGAGTGGAAAGAAAACGCGCAATCGATGTGATTTTGTAGCCCTCCAGCTTTTCCCCCATAGTCCTCTACCTCTTCCCTGCCGCTGCCAAACGCTAGCAAAACGCTTGAGTGGAAACGACTGGAGAAAACGCGTTGCCCGTTACCCGCTGACTGAGCTTGGTTTGGAAGCCTAGATCGATTTGATCCTCTTCCTCCGGCCGTGCGACGCTGGCCTACGTTACGCTGGGCCGCGCGCTCGCCTAAGCTGCCGCAAGGCTAGTAAGCTGGCGAAAGTAACGCAGCCTTGATGGTCATACAGCCCAGACCAACCGCGAACGTTTAGCAAAAAGATACTTGGTGTTGACTGGTGAAGGTGTTCCAAAATGGTTCGTCCCCCCCCCGCAGCCCGTCGAACAGCCCACAGAAAAGCAACAAACTAGGTCAAGAGGGGGTTCTGGCAAGCAGTGACCGCAAGAAAAGGCCAAGGAAAGAGTACGCAAGGGTATGTGCGGTAAAAACAATCGAATAAGAGGCAGCAGATGGTTGTTAGACGCAAACTTCCGAATCCCGCCTTGAAGAGATTGTCCTTCGGAAATGCTTTCTTCCGTTTATTTGGATGTGTCGAAAAAGTTTTCAAACTGATTCCAGAGCTGCTGAGTCTGAGTGAAGAGAGTTTGGAGACACGTTGTACACACTCGGTGTATGCTGCAAAAAAGCACAAAAACTTGTCAAGGGATATACTGCATTATCAGTGAAGCTAGTAGAGGCGTGTCGGTGGTGCACATGTATGGATTTCAGGACAGCATCTGCCTGTTTCCAATAGGCTGTTGCAGCTTCGAGCATTCAGTGAGTGGTGGGAAAGAGGATGGCGCCGCGCGAAACCTCGAGCGCCACTGACACGCACGACTGACTTTATTGATAACGGCTGTAAGTGTTTCCAGACTGAAAGCGGGCCAAAAGAAGAATCGTACTTGTCCTTGCCGCTGCGCGCGGGTGGCGCGGGCGTTTTCCTTAACCCATATTACTTCATCCGTTGCGAGCCCGCACTTCAAGTAGACGCCGTCATCGTAGAGCATTTATGAGCCATTTTTCGGTTTCTGAAATCGCACTGTTCGTCTGCCATCTACTACCGTGTAAACATCCGTTACTTGCGTGGCGCGCCACCAATAAGAATTCTCTTGTCACAAGCGGTCTAGAAAACAGATTCATTCTGTATGACTGATGTGATAGTGACGAGAACCACTGATCTCGGGCTATGAGGGCGTTTCATTTCTATTCTGCATGTGCCAATGGGTGGAGCATTTTCGGTGGGTGCACATCAATCTTACACTAGTGCTTCATATGCTTTCCTGTTCTGGATTTTCATAATATCCGCTCTTTTTGATACACTTGCGCATTAAATTACAGTACATTACATTCTCGCTTGTTCAGGGCAGGAAAAAACGAAAAGAGGATGAGTTCTTAAACGAAAAGATGCCGAAAGTAACTGTACAAATGACATCTGTGGAAATGTTAAAGTAATGGCTGATTAGATCGGACAAAGGATCTTATTTTGTGTGCGGATAGCCCGATCCGTTTGCCGTGACCAAACACATTCCGAACCGCAACGTTTGCAGGGGCGTGTTCAGATGTTTCATCGTAGGCATGGCGGTGGATTGACTGCTTTCGGTCCGGTATAAAGACGTGGACTATGTGACAAAACAACGTATTGCGCCGCAGTGGTGGGCGTGGCGAGGACGTCGCGCCCGAGGGACAGGTTATCCCGCCTGGCTATTTTACTTTGTGTTCTGAAGGAACGGGGAAGTTCAGTATTGCCTGCTACTTCGGGCTGTTTTAACTCATATAAGTTTTGTTAATTCAAACGCAACTGACTCAAAGCATTGGAAATTCCGCCCAGTGGCAAGAAAAGCCGTGCGCGACCCTTTAGATAGGGTTCAGACTTCGCGACGGCAGCGCTTCGGTTGGTCGTTCGGCGCGATTGATGCGCATGCTTTCTACTGCATCGATCGCGTTGAATGCGGCGATCAGAACGCTGGCTATGACGCGTGTGGTCCGTTCCCTCCGTTTCCCTCCATTCCGTTTGATAGTTGACTACACCACAGTCCAATGTGTCATACTCGCAGGGGAGGGGTTGTCCAGAGACTGCGGTTGTGAATGCGGCGGCGTTTTGACTGTAGTCGTCCAGGTTAAGACTGAACAGGCTATCACTCCAAGAGCAGCGCAAGACAAGAAGACGTTGGCGCGTGTTGAAGTCTCCTGCCCTGAATCTGCAGTCCTTGATATGCTTCCGCAACCAGCGCCAAAGAACGGTCTTGGACACTCCCCTCGATGGCGGGGGTGTGGACGCGCGTAAGCATCTTCTGTAATATATTAACCTCGGTCTTCCAGGAAAAACTCGACACAGACAGCGATCGCATTGTTGGAAAAAAGAGCGACTGTCTAAAAACGCATGAAATGATCTCCGGAACATATATCGATATGAAGATTTGGCAGAACTTTCGTTCCTCCACCGAGGTTAGTCCACAGTCATGTCTGCTTCCAGGGAGGGGGTGTCAGGCCGTAAGAATTTTGTCCCAAACCCGTTTTTCACCAATTGATGTAGCGACGAGACTGTATCATATCGTTCGTTTAGTCGTTTTCCAAAGACTGTTATCGTTTACTCGCCTCAACAACCAGTGGAGAACAGGTTTGGCACAGCGGCAACTCATCCCGCCTTACACGCCCCTTCATCGGCAGCGGACAACACTGTACTTTTATTCCAAAAGGTGCTTTGTAAGTTGTTCTGCGCTTTTTCAGGCCATAGGAGCTGCTGCTATCCTATCAAGATGGTTCTCTCTCAAATGTCTGAAAAAGAGTACTAAACTACAAGTACAATCAATAAAGTGTTGCATTCTGAAGTGATGTGAAATGTTGACCATACGACGATCCGTCGCCTGGGGGAGGGGTCTTCACAAGAGTTGCAGGTATTCCTTACAAGAGTTAAGAGGTGGATCTCTACAAAATTCGACTGGTATCACTTCGTAGCTAAACAAGATTCCGCAGGTCTCCTCAAGATTTCACAGGTTTTCACTTGTTGGATGAACACGTCGATTTGAGGTGGCGAAACCGAAAGAATTATAGCCCCCACCCCCAAGGCGAACTGCGCCGGAGCAGCAACCGAAAAAAACCAGGGGAGCTCATACATCTTAACAGTTTTGCTATGGAGCTTCAGGATTTCGGGTCACTTCACGTCACTCTACTCGGACTACGAAGTCTGATAACTGACGCTGAAGGGACGCACCATCAGCAAACTTCTGGAGGCGTGGCCCTTCGGGTTATGCAGGTGCACGCTCTACGACGGAGGGCGGGGGGAGGGGAGCACTTCTCACTTTTGAGTTCCCACCAATAAGAGGCCGATGATTCTGGCCGACACTTGTAAAGACCACCTGCAAACCCCTGTAAAGCAGTGAATCACCATACATTAGTGATCATGATAGTTCGAGAGCTTGCCTCAACTTTACAAAAGTTGACAGGTTTCACCAGAGTGAAACTTGTAAACGGGAAATAGCAGAGCGGCGAAAGTTCAGAATGCCCTCCCCGTCGCCGAAAGGCGTTTGCAGGTGGAATGCAACCGCTCGGAGCACGGAACCACCCTCTCGCTTTGGATTTATGAGGTCCGCGTGCAACACGCTCTCCTCCATCTGCGCCTGCAATGTGTAGTCGAACGCTGGCCCTGCAATTTCTCATTATGTGTTCGCCGCTTGCACACATTGTGTCGTATTTTTAGAAGTATCCGTGCGGACGTTGCAAACATTAAAATGCCGTCCCGCAAGAAGATTAACCGCTCCCGTGCACATGACATGACTGTCCTGTTCCAGTCTGCATTCTGAGCAGTACGATTTCCTTCAAAGGACTATTCCGATTCATAAACGATTTCCTTTTTTTGCGTTCGCCTTGGGCAGGGCATTTTGCATTTTCGTCAGTTTCTTTTGCTAATTCGTGTCGATTCACAGGCTATTCTTGGGTGAAAATCTGTAAATCTGTAAACCCCTTTAAAGCTGCATAGAAATGGTGTACGTGAGCGAATTTATTCATGAGGATTTACAGATTCTCGCACAACTTAACCGCAACTAAGCTTCGCAAGCGCCCCACCAAGTCCGATGAGACCCTTTTTGCTTCTTCTAAATCACATCCTCTGTCGTCATCACATATCTAATTTGAAAGGTGAAAATCGAGCGTGCCACTGAACAGGAGATAAAGGGGACCAAGTAACTCGACAAAACGATTCACCAAAGATGACCTGACTTGATGAGGATTGTCGAGAATGACATGCTGCTCAGGCATCCAACCTCTTGAAGCTGCTTGTACCATCAAAAGCAACATCTCGGAGTTGAGTACGCTTGAAGTCCCATCGTTCGACCAGTTCTTGGCTGCCCCCCCCCCCTTGTTCAAGCAATCTGGCCCGCACTCTATAAAATTGTCACTTTTTCGCGGCTTTACAGTAAGTGGCGGAGGCGCCACGGTTCTCGTAAAAACGCCTAGTTGGGCTAATGCCGTTTGGACTCCAGAAATTTCGTCTTCGAGCTCATTTTAAAAGTGGCAAGATCACCAAATCCGCTAAAAACTTGTATATAGGGGTAATTCAACATCCTGATCAACGAATGTGACCATATTCGTTTGGCGCTGGCAGCTTACATGTGAATGAACACCCCGGTTACCTGCGCCTGCGCTAAGGCCGAGCCAGGAGGTAACCGTAGTGTCCTCTCTTGGCGCCAGCGCCAAGAATGAGTGTCATACTCGTAATCAGGATGTTGAATTACCCCTATATACAAGTTTTTAGTGGATTTGGTGACTTAGGCAATTTGAAAATGAGCTCGAAGACGAAATTTCTGGAGTCCAAACGGCATTAGCCGCCTAGTTGTATATCCTACCAAAACTCACAGGCTATCTTCTGTTACAAGTTCAAGTCTCACACCGTGCTTTTCGTTTTTTTTACTGTTTGAAGTGGCACGATATCGTTTTGCTGGCATAAAACGAGGTGCTTCGGAAGTAGCACTATGAGGCTGCGAGGGCTCCTTATGCAGGGTGCTCCCCACGGCTTTATTTTCGGCTCATTTTTTTCCTTGGGGAGTCACTTATCGACTAAAAGCTCGTTAGTGAATGTCACTGAATACTTTTTTTCAATTCCATTCCCATTCGAAGTTCACAGTTTCTTTCAATTTCTTGGCAGAGGTGATTAAAACTTCTCTGATACGAAGCCATTGATACGCTTAATTGCTCGGCTGTATTCTTTGCCATCTTAGCTGATGGCAATTAATTAGAGTTATGTGAAGAAGCATGAGTCGGTCAAAGATCGCAAAAGTCGTCACTTAGGCGAATTACTTCTTAGTTCTGTCCGACATCGTCGTTGTCCGACGTCGTGTGTGTTCGTTGTTCATTGCGTAAGAAGCGATCCCTTACAATCGACACGACAACTGCTCCAAATACCGTATCGGTTACGTCACAGTTGCGTTATGGTACGTAACCATAACTTACAACTCGACGTGATTTCGCCGCTGTTTATTTGTTTGTTCAAAAAGCAGCGAAGTTAGAAAGTAAAGAAATTTTCATTTCCCCCGTCAATCTTGTTTTTCCATTCGTATTCAAAACATCTTTTGAGACACAACATCAAAGAAAAATTGCTGGATCTTTCTAGGCTAATCGAATTTTCTTTTCCTTTTTCGGCACAGTTCGGCTTGATGGGGTATTTTTTTGGTCCGCATCTGTCTCTGTTGTGGGAACCAGTAAACTCCTCCTGCGTAACTTGCAGAAGTGCAGAATGCCCGTCCTAAACCGATCGGCGTCTCCTTCGCCTCTTCTTCAATACATTTGCATTTTATCATTTGCAGATCGTTTTAGTTGCTTGGAACTGTAGCCTTGCTTACTGTAGGTTGCCCATCGCTTGGGAACACTCCTGCGCGATAAACATTAGATTTACGAGCCATGTTTATTGACCCAAACCATTACAGGGCTGACTTCGTGATACAATTACCTGATATGGGCATTAATTGCTCGTAAATACTTCAACCATGTAGGTAAACCTAGTATTGAATGACATTAAATCAGCTCTAAGGCCATTATTTGGCCTGCTTTAATTCCTGCGCAATCATTTAGTTTCAAGATTTTTGGCCAATTCAAGGATAGCAAACGTTCGATCATTCCAGGAATAAAAAAATTTCAGAGGGCTACTTCAGCCAGATTATGGATTAGATATGGTCAAACTCTGGCCCACATTTCCAGCTAATGGCAGGGTCCCAAGCTGAGCCATCCTATTGCTAAGCTGAGCCATCCTATTTCTTTTCAGTATAAGTAATCTTCTTTAAATTCTATAGGGATGATGGACTTATAATTATGGCTTCGAATCACTGAACTATCCGAGGGCTAGGGATTTTTTATGTCAACTCGAAGCTGAAGAAATCCGAAATAACTCAAAAAACTCACGTAAGAAATAGGATGGCTCAGCTTAGCAATAGGATGGCTCAGCTTGGGACCCTGCCATTAGCTGGAAATGTGGGCCAGAGTTTGACCATATCTAATCCATAATCTGGCTAAAG